GTTGCTTTGTCTCCCATGGAGGAGACACTGAAAGGAAGAGGCGAGCTGGGATTTGTGGCCCTCAGGTGCGGATGGTGACGATGCCAGCAGACCGCGAGCCTCGGCGCGGCCAGTCTGGGGCCGTGGCCCTGCGAGGTCAGCTCGCTGCTGCAAGTTCAGGAAATTGGGCCGACTCCGACACATCCGCACCCAAGCTTTTTCACTGCTCACCACTCAGATCTTTTATGTCTTTGGTCGGGACTCTACCTATTGATCAGGAGATTGGGGTGGGCCGTTGGCGCCCTCGGGTGATCAGCCTGCACGCTGCTCGCCTCGGGCTCCGGGTGTAAGGGGTACAGGTTTGTGGTGTCCCGTTGCAGGAAATGGATCTTTGACGTTCACCCTGTGTCCCTGCAGAGAGCAGGAGACCACGTGGAAAGGCACGGGTCACGCCATCTACACACACGCACACGCACGTGCACATGCGCATGCAGGTAGCACACCGACCCGTGACCGTGCACGCGGCGCTCTGCTCTGCCCCTGCAAGCGTGTTGAGGAGCAGCCGGTCTCAGCCTTGTGCTAGCGACACGCGTCGCCGCTGTCCTCACTAGCTGCCGGGGGACCCGGCACCAGTGTGACCGTCCCTCAGCCACCTGGAAGGAGCGGTCCCGAACTGCTCAGCGCCCAACGGGAGGCGGAGCTGCCGAAGAAGGGCCCGGGCTGGGCGTGGGGAGGATCGGGGTGCAGGCGGGGGTACAGGAGCCTGGGCCGGGTCGGGGTGCAGGCGGGGGTATGGGAGCCTGGGCCGGGTCGGGGTGTAGGTGGGGGTATGGGAGCCTGGGCCGGGTTGGGGTGCAGGCGGGGATACAGGAGCCTGGGCCAGGTTGGGGTGCAGGTGGGGGTACGGGAGCCTGGGCTGGGTTGGGGTGCAGGCGGGGGTACAGGAGCCTGGGCCTGGTCGGGGCACAGGCGGGGGTACAGGAGCCTGGGCCAGGTTGGGGCGCAGGCGGGGGTACGGGAGGCTTGGCCGGGTTGGGGTGCAGGTGGGGGTACAGGAGCCTGGGCCAGGCAAGGCCGAGGATGTGAGATGGGAGAGACACCCCCCAGGAAGCCACAGTGACAGCTTCCGGAGCACTCCGGGTTCTGCTCTTCTGGGAGGCTGTTCTCTGCTGGGGTCACACTTAGCAGTGACCCTCCACGGAAGGTTCTAGTTCCTCCTATATTTTGAAAAACTAGAATGATGGACATGAGGGAGTTGGTAAGACTGCCTCACAGGTCTCTGGCCACTCTCCACTGAGTGGCTCTACAGCGCGTGGAAGGAGGGGTGGCTAGCTGGGTGGTGGGGAGGAGGGCAGAGGGAACGCACACATAAGTTTGTTTCATTGCTACATCTCTACAAGAAAAAAACTCGGTTCCTTGCACTTTAAATATCACGTAACTGAAGCTCAGAAAACTTACATGAACCGCCCAAGATCCCATAGCAAATAAATGGCAGAACCATGTTCCCAACCCAATTCCAACTCTTGTCCCCTGTGGCACACACTTTGTCTGGAAATTCGTGTTAAATATCAATAATTACTGAATTCGATATGCACATGTGGTAAGCAGGACACATGTAACACCTTCACTGCTCCTTATGCACTGGATGACTCGAGTTTGCAAAAAGGACAAACAGATTTTGGTTTTGGATTTTCCCTTTTAGGGGTGCCCAGCTCTATTCTCAAAGGAATTTTTGGCTGAAGAAGATAATTTCAAAGTAAAAATGGTTTGTTCTCTTCAGATCCCAGCAATAAATCAGATCATATCAGGCATTTCCTAAAAGTAAAAACTGTATTCTCTCTTGCGTTTGGTATCTACCAAGAAGAGGCATGAAGTCATGAGCTATTACTCATGGAAGACGTGAGTTACTATTGCATGAAAACGGGTAAGGATTGAGTCCACGCCCACACGGAGGAAGACTTGCTATGCACCAGGTAAGACAGGCAGCTTTTGAGTGACTGGAAAAAGAAAACGGCCCAAGTATTTAGTTCAGGTACAACTCGCCACGGTCAAAGAAGTGAATGGCGGACGCAGCCCCCAGGTGGAAGATCACTTTACCACTCGCCCCTTCGGGAAGCGTGTGCAGGGTGCTGGATTAGCTCACGTCACAGGCAAACGCTGTACCCAAAGGCCACCAAGAGCCAGCAGCTCACATAGAAGTGGGAGATGGGCTTGTAATTGGCTTTAAATTAAGTGGTAAAAAAAAAAAAAAGGAGATAATGGGGAAAGAAGCTTTTAAAAATTCTATCTAGTTGAAAGTGGAAACTTGTTGGCCTTTAAAAAATATGTCTCTGAAGTGGGCAACATTCTGCACGTACTGACTATAATTCATCTTCTAAATAGCAGCGTGCTCTAGTTGAACAAAAGAGTAGCGGGGAAAGGACAAAAGACCAAGACACCCTGAAGTTCTGAAAGTGTGGTCCCACGGTCGACCGACCCCAAAGCCACAGAGCAGCTCTAAGGAGTGGCAGGAACTGATTCACAGGGAGGAGGAGGCTGCAGCGTCGGCTGATGCTCCCACAGCCAGCCGCGCGCCTCCCGGGCCGGTGCGGGCTTTCCGGAGCGCGCCGGCCGCGCTGAGCCGGGTCTCTCTGGGCCGGAAGTTGCTGCCATCGTCCTTGCTCGGGGAATGCCCTTCAGCCCAGTATTCCCAAGCTTAGGCAAAGAGATTACAGGTTTGAAAGACAGGAAGATATTCCCACTACCCTACTCACACATATGTATTGCCAGTGTTAGCAATTTCCTTGGAGCTGAGATCTGGGAAGCTGATCATATCCCCCATTACGAGCCTCTTGGTGACTGTTCACAGCCAGGGCGTGGAAATGGCGAGCTGGGGTTGACTCCACACGGCGACCCTCTGGACTGGAAACTGTGAAGTGTTTAGCTCTAATGCCCCCTGACTAACACCCTCTCCAACAGTTAAGAAAATTTCAGCCGGGCGCGGTGGCTCACGCCTGTCATCCTAGCACTTTGGGAGGCCGAGGCGGGTGGATTGCTCGAGGTCAGGAGTTCGAAACCAGCCTGGGCAAGAGCGAGACCCCGTCTCTACTATAAATAGAAAGAAATTAATTGGCCAACTAATATATACAGAAAAAAATTAGCCAGGCATGGTGGCGCATGCCTGTAGTCCCAGCTATTCGGGAGGCCGAGGCAGGAGGATCACTTGAGCCCAGGAGTTTGAGGTTGCTGTGAGCTAGGCTGACGCCACGGCACTCACTCTAGCCTGGGCAACAAAGCGGGACTCTGTCTCAAAAAAAAAAAATAAAAGAAACAGAAAAAAAAAGAAAAAATTTCAAGAACTATGAGAATATATAATTTTTAATAAACTGATCTCGAAGTACAACCGTTGGCCACTGACTTGGCAACCACAGGGAAACCCCATGTTGCTGCTTTTAGGTGGTCTCACCATCAGACATTTAATCATTAGAAGAGCAGCAATTTATGTGGAAAACATGCTGGAGAAATTCTCAAAAGAGAGCTGCAAGCAAGAATGCAAGAGCGGAATCTACTAGTGCATGTAGCCATTTCTCATTTTTCTTAAATTAGAAAAATTACAATGTACTAGCCATAATGTGCTACATCCTAACATTCCCTCAACTCTCTGAGGTTGAATCAGCCCTAGCCTCCCCCCAGACCCGGACGACCACCTGTAGGGCGAGGAAACTTCAGCCTGGACTTCAAAAAATGACAGTGGACTTAAGTTTGGCACGTGACAATAGTCACCTGCTCCTCAGAGAGTGTAACCTGCTTATAGTAGTCGAAGGTTAGGGGAGGCAGATAAAATCGGATTTTTTTTTTCCCCTTCACTCATATAATTTGAAGATTATAGAATGTGGTTTTTAAAGGTCAGAATGAATTGCTAATTAAGTGGGGCCATTTGAAATTAGCAAATAAAACTGCCACTCAGCATTGTGACTAAGGAGCAATTCATCACATGGAGGCAAAAATGGCAGCAAAGCATAGCCAAGGGGAAAATGATTTCTCATCTAGTTAAACTAGCGCCTTCGCATGATGCTACTAAGAAACGGTTAGATGTTAACTGCAGCCCTTTCTCTTTAGGGTTAACCACTTCGGGACCAGCGTGGACTGTAGCCGACAGCCACAGATGGAATGCGCACAGCCCAGCGTGGACTGTAGCCGACAGCCACAGATGGACGCGCACAGTGACTTTAGCCGACAGCCATGATGTGACTTTTCTAATTTTTCATTTATCAAAATAAAATTGTGAACATTTAAAAATAACGTGATGAAAACACGTACGTCCATGTCACCTGTTCTGATTTACGTTACAAGGAAAGCTGCCTGTCAAGTGAAACGAGCTCTCAGCGCTCTCGAGCTTCCCTCATCACGTGAGAGCGAGGCGGACGCGCCGTCAACGCGCGGCACAGACCGCCGTGCGGACCGGGAGCGCCGGCCGTGGGCGAGGTGTCGCGGCCGGCACCGAAGTGGTTAAAAAAAAAAAAATAGCATGCAACAGTTTTCTCTGAAGACACAAATCAAGTTCATCTTCACAGCCACGCCTTGTAGGTGTGTAGACCAGCTGTGACTTCCCTTTGTCTTGTACTCAACAGGTGAGGGAAGAAAGAGCTACTTTATCATGGTCATAACCTTACTCTGATTTTTTTAAATGTAAATCACTAACAAACTTTGGCATCTTAACTATTATAATGCAAAATTACTTAATATACTTCTCAAACCAGTAGTGACTCCATCTTTTGGGAATGTCTGTTTAAAAGCATTTGGGCTGTGCTTCTAGGTACTTGCGTTTTCCTAGGTGCTGTATTTGCCGGTGGTGAGTTAGACGCTCTCGATCCATGCTGGGACTCTCAGGGTTTCGTTTCACATCAAGATTTTTGTATATTAAATTTAAGCCAAATTTATAAACATGAATATCACAATGGACCATCCAGACAGTTGCTTTGACATGCATATCTTCATCTAGAAAACAAATTAAGGCAGCATTTTATATAGAGAGAGATGTATATTTTTAAGCACTTTATTTATTAATTAGCTAATCCACACCACAAACTTATGAGGTAGTTTAGCATGCCTTTAGTATCAATAAGTTAGGTAAAAACCAGAAAGGGGGAAAAAAAATCTGTCTCCACAGTAATATGTTGATCAGACTCTTCTCATTCTGGTCACAAAAAGAAAAAAAAAATCAATTCCTTGTACAAGTTGGCGAAATGACCAATGAATATTTATTTAGCTTGGATGGAATGCAGAATGTAGTTATTTTATTACCTGGCAGTTTAGAAAGGTTATTTTTCTTATTAAGGTCTTAATATACTGTGTTCCCACTGACCTGTCAGGAACACTTCACTCAGATCAGCTTTGGAAGGGGTGTGACCCCCCCCCCCCAAGTCTCAAATTTCCCTAATGGGAGTTTTAGCATTTTTTTCACTTATCTCATACATGTCTCATAGTTATCATCTTTGGGTCTGGCTGACCTAATAATCTCACTTCTGTAGCGAGGTGTCAAGACTCTTGCAGTTCCAATTTATGTTTATATGTCATCTAAGAGGGCCAGTGAAAAACAAATCTGCTGGTCTTTGTAGTCCAGCAATTACAGATGAGAGTTTTATTACTACTTCTATCGGCAAAAGGGATCGCTGTAGTCCTCTCTGCTTAGCAGATTGCTCTATGACCATATTTATTAGTTCACCGGGATGTGGAGACTGTGTATAACAAAGGCTCATTAATTTGAGTTTCACCATCCGGCATTTGTGGCCTCTGGCACAGGTGCTAGCCTGAAGCTTACCTCTGTGCTGAAGAAGAGAAAGTTTTCGCAAAGTAAATGAATTGCATTACCAGGACTGCAAGAGTTTTTTTTTTTTTTTATCTCTTTGAGATGACATGACCCTACTGAGCAAAACAACAAAGAACAACAACAAACAGCTAGCTTCCCAAGTAGGGACGTTTCCATTCAAGAATTCCCAAAATAGAAACAACCTTCATGGTCCTTTCCCGCATCAAGGCGGACATATTATCGCCTTGGTCCACTGGAACGATGATGTCCCTTATCTGCATGGGCGAAAATAAGGAAATTTGAAAACATACAAACACACAAAACCTCCGGCAGGGTGTTTACTTTCACTTGACAGGTTGCCAAGGAGCAGCGGTATTTAGATGGAGAATTCTGAAATAATCTGATTAGTTATAGCCAGAAGCTTATCTATAAAGGGTTTGGCATAGCCTTTCTGTAGAGCAAAATAAATCTATGTTTCTAGACTTCTCTATATTAGGTTATTAAAAACAAACACACACACACACACCACTTCAGGGCACGAGCTCACTCACTACAATACAAACAGAAACAAAGTTTTTTTTGCTTGTGTTTTGTTTTCGTTTTTTTTGTTTTGTTTTGTTTTACTTGAACAATGCTTATTTACAGCGGAATTGACAAATGAAGCCTTATTTTACATTTGAAGAAAAGCCATCAAGGGAGGCTGTAGCTCTGCTTCTGTGCTTTCCAACACGGCAATACAACATTTTCCCCAGTCCAACCCCCTTTCTTCCCACAAGGCACCAGGCAGGGGCTGGCCTGGCTGCTTCTCTCTGCAGGGACAGACGCTGGCGGCTCGGGTGTCCCCCTCAGCTGGCTCTCCTCGAGGGGGCGGGGGGCCAGATTCCAAAACCAGGAAAACGGGCACCTTCGCACCAACACTGCGCATTCTGGGTCATTTCCTTTGTTGCTCACTGAGCTGTAACCACCTCGGCTCGCTGGGAAACAATGCATGCCCAGAGGATCCTGGCACCAGCAGACTAATAACCTGTGGCCACCAGGCAAAAGGGGCAATGCCAGCCAGGTCCCAGCTGGAGCACGGATGGCATCAGAATTGAAGCTCAGTGTCCCCGCTTTGTAGCCAGCCTGCTAGACATCCAGTCCAGTCACCATGGAAAATAATGAAACCGAGAGAGAGAGCTTTATGGTTTGGGCTCAGAGACATTCCCCGGGAGAGACTGACACTGTTCTTGTCTGTCGCGCTGTCCTGGGGCGGCGGGGGGAAGGGGGTGCTCTTTCCAAAGTGACCGAATCCTGGTCCAGCCACCCGACTTAGAAGAAATAAGGGACCTCCCCTTACCCAAGGTTGCCATGTCTTCAGAATGTGCTTACTTCTTTCCAAATCATCAGCGCCCCGATGAAAGCCCACGATTAAGGCCTACTTCATAAAAAACAAAAAATATTCATTTATTGCCATCTCATCCTGGGGGTGATCACTCTTCTTTCGGATGCTTTGGGGGAAAACGCTGCACCAAGGTCGGACTGCTGTGAAGACATTTTTGCCTAAGAGGATTAGCATGCAGGCAAACTAATTCTTTTCCTAAGCTATGATTTTTTTGGCAGCTTGCAGAGAGGATGTGGCTTAACCTTGAGAAAGTGTTCTTTGAGGATCAGAAAAAAAAAAAAAGGATGAGGATTCTTCCCTCTTGACCCTCCTCCTGCTCCCTGTCCCGCGCCGGCTCTCCGCGATGCGTCTCCTAGTGACGGTGATCTGTTCGGGCCCTGTGTGTGTGCGTCGCCTTCCATCACGTTCGACATGACGGAAAAGAATGTTTACTTCTGGGTAGAGGTGGTTTGCATCACAACCGTGGAGGATTAAACAGAATAATTATACTCTGAGGAAATCTAGAATGAACTGGAAATCTAAATGTCTCCGCTGTCTTGAAGTCTGAATAATGCCCCAACTGTTTGCTTATAGGGTTACAACTGAGAACAAGTGTTAAATATGTCATCGGGGGAAAAAAATAAAAAATAAAAAAATCCATCCTAATAGCATGACTTACCACAAAATATATTTTTAAAAAAAAAAAAAGAAAGAAAGAAAAAGAAGGAAAGAAGCCTCATTCACTTTCCAAAATCAAGATCAGTCTCATATTGATCTGCGAATCGTTGTAAGAAGTGTTCATTGTTCAAGAAAGAATCCTCTTCTTGTGGTTGATAAGCAATTCTCCACGGCAGAGAAATGCTGATATATTTGTTTTTTCTTATCTCTTGATTGATGTTTTCACTACTTATTCTTCAGGCTACAAGACAGAAAGGGACAGAGTCTTACATTCTTTCATAATTACATATTCAAACACTTCTCTCTCTCTCTCTCTTTCTCTCCCCTTTTCCTCACCCACCCCTCACACCACTTTACCCAATTCAAATTAAATTGAATCAATATGGTGAACCTTTTAGGGTCTACATAACCTGTGTATGTGATAACTCAATTACCAATGTCATCTCCATGTACATAGAAGCAAATTTACACCTCTATGCTGCCAGTCCAGACACTAAATTCATTTCAAATATCCTTTTTTTATATGTAAATATTAATCCTTTGGTAGACATAAGGAAAAAAGTAAAATTTATAATACAACCAAAAATAATTTATAATACAACCAAAAATAATAAAATATTTAGTAACAAATGTAATAAGAAATGTTTAAGATCAAGGCAAAGAAAAATTTGAAAACCTAGAAATAGATATGAAAGAAAATGTGAACAGAGAGGAAGAGCTTACGTAAGTCCTGCATAGAAAGGCATATTAAAGATAATTTTCGGCCAGGCGGTGGCTCTCGCCTGTAATCCTAGCACTCTGGGAGGCCGAGGTGGACGCATTGCTCCAGATCAGGAGTTCGAAACCAGCCTGAGCAAGAGCAAGACCCCATTTCTATTAGCCGGGCATGGTGGCGCATGCCTGTAGTCCCAGCCACTCGGGAGGCTGAAGCAGGAGGATCGCTTGAGCCCAGGAGTTTGAGGTTGCTGTGAGCTAGGCTGACACCACAGCACTCTAGCCCGGGCAAGAAAGTGAGACTCTGTCTCAAAAAAAAAAAAAAAAAGATAATTTTCTTCTAAATTAATCAATAAATTATATTCACTCCAAAAAAAGAGAGAAAGAATTCTTAAATGCAATCTTTTTAGTTGGTAATTAAATTCATTTAGCTCAAAAAACTTTTACATATAAAAAGTTAGCAATAAAATATTAACTTCAAATATTCTCAAAATAAAAATAATAAATAGATTTTTACTTATGCCATGCTGCATGTACCCATCTCTAAGTTCCAGGTGTAACTACATGCGGAACCCTCTTCCCGGGAGTGGGGAACAACACCATAGTATTTAGATTTCAAATTAATCTAAACTTCATTCTTCATTCATTCACAATTTTATCCATGAGAGAAATAAAAAATTTTTTTCTCTGCCTTTGCTTTCAAAAAGTATTGATTTAATTCAAATTCATAACTATTCTCTAAAGGATTTTTAGTTTTGCTTTTTTCTTTATTATAAGAAGTTACTGTCATTTACTGCACGCCTACCATGTGTCGAGAATTTGACATTTATTTTTACAGTATAATTTGATCCCTAAGCCCACCTTTCACGTGTGTGCCACTTCTCCCCATTTTACAGGCGAGAATACTGGGGCTTACTTAACTGGGCTAAGTTAATGGCGCGAGGTCATATGGCTGATAAGCGGTGGAATTTGAACCCTAGGAAAAAAAAATCAAAATCAGGAGGCAAAAAGAGCTTGTTGACATTAGGTTGCAGGGGATTTCTCTCTTGCTGCTGAAAATGCTTCTGGCTGGAGCATGGCTGCCGTGTCAGAACCTCCTGGTACTTGACCGTTACGGTGAAGCGTGTTTTAGGCAGGAGGGTGGCAACAGGGCAGAGCAGGTTGGGATCCTCGCATAGGTTTCCTGTCCTTCATCACTGAGGTCCAAATGCCTCATTGGCAAGCTGGTAAATGGAAATTCAAAAGCCACAAAGGAAAATTCTTTGGCTCACCTAGAAGCACACAGCCTGTCTTGAAATTTCATTTTCCAAGAAAACTGCTGTCAGAGAATATTCCTAGGATCCGAATAAGACTTTGAATGCTGTTGGTCTCAGACCAAAAGAAAACAGAGACGACATGCTTTTTTTTTTTTTTTTTTGGTAAAAATATGTTTGCAATTTGCAATTTGCATGGCCCTGGTAACCAGAGCCACTTTTTAATAGTTGTTATTAAAAGAAAAATCTCATACTCAGTTTCAGCCACCATCCAGTCATGACCTAAGGAAATGTCATAGTTGTCATCATCATCGTGAATTGATGTGGCATAAAGAAGGTTGGAAGCTCCCATGGAGCAAACAAGTTCGATTTCATTTTTGTAAACTGCAAAGATGAGCGCTTTTCAAATTAAAATGGGCTTGCAGTGCCTCACCCCCACATAATGTAGTAGTAAGAACGTTACCATTCCAGACCCAGGGCCCAGCAGTCTCCTCTCACGATTACATCATTAGAAGAAAACCAAATGAGGGTCTGTTTTTTTTTTTTTTTTTTTTAACTTATAGTAAAAGTGGTGTATTAAGAACTTAATGCCATAGTGAGGAAAAGTATCACACTCTTCCTTTTTACAGCCAGCATAATTAATTCAGATCCTTTCTGAACACATAGATGTCATGACAAATTAAAATGTCTTTCAATTCCATACAGCCTTTGTCATTATTCGCCTGTTGCCGTTATTATTGCGGGAAGGGCTCTTTCATATTTTAGTCAGCGTCCCCATGTGATACAAAGGAACATGGAAAATTTTACTGCTATTAATAAATATGCAGCCATCCAATCCAAGAAGAAAATTCTTTTTTTTTTTCATTCGAGAGATAAGCTGCATAATTCATGTATTTTCAGAAATTTCTTTAAATAGAAAATAGAAGAAAGACAAAGGGAAAAGAATTCGTGACGTAGTTTCCATTTGTGGCGAGGGACAGTCTTTGTTCTCAGTCTTCGGCCCGGTTCGATTTGAAGAGACACTTTCAATTTGTCCCCTGCGTGGACCAGACATGCTCACACAGGCCACCTTGTTTCTGACACACGTAACCATAAACATGACGACCACACGGCCTGTTTCCCTTCCGTTACCTTTCTAAAAAAGAATGCAACTGGGTGTTCACGGGGGCTTTTCTTGGGGTCTTGCAATGCATACTGGGAAAATTTCAAACAATTTGAAAAGTGGGAAGCCTCCACTTTTCATAAAAAGAAGTGTCCAGGCCAGGGAACCGTGGTGCTACACACAGCTTCCGCGACCATCAATCCCTGTTGGAGGTCCCGCCTGCAGGGGATATGACGGCCTTCTAGAACCAGCCAGGTGAGGATCACATCTGCAGGACCAGTTAGGGACAAAAAGCCTTTCCTTTTTTTTTTTTTCCTACTGCAGCCACTTTCCCCATACTGACCCTGAAGGTGCAGAAGAGAGATGAGCTCTGACCGGGGTACGACGCGGAAGTCTTAATGCAGAACAGGATGGGCCGTCGAAAACGGCCTCACCTTCGAAAATAGCCCGAGATGTAAGCATCTTCCTGAGATGCCGGCAAGGCGGGGAGTGGGCAGAGAAAGCAGCGTGGCCACTATGTTTGAAGGTGGCGGCTAGAGAAAATCCCAGTGACTAATTTGCCCCACGCTGCATTTAAACTGTCCGATTCACAAGCTTGAAAACAAAGCAGAATATCCCAGCCGTCAAAAGCCTACTTTCTGAGAGCCGGGAAGCAAGTCCACACGGACGAGAAAACTGCAGTCACGGGCCATCGTTTTACATGAAACGACACGGCCAGAACCTGTTAGACGCGGAGGAGCCATGTTCCAGGCAATTTCCACAAGTATATTGCCAAACAGCCACGACTCTGAGCTTGTTCAGCCCGAGAAGTGAATGGCAAACAGGGACTCGACACCTTTGCTCAATCTATCAAGACGGTGCAATGACACATCAAATCAAACTACATTCCTGAAACTGAGCATCTTCCAATCCCTATTCTTTCTATCCTTGTGTCTCAAAACTTGGCAGGTAAGTATTGCATTAAGTCAAAAACGCAGTGTTCTCCCAGGCTGGTTTCTTTTTCTCTCTCAGCCTGTACCACTTCATCGCCAATCTTATTGGCCTCCTCTTCTTCTACCCTTAAGTACTGCCATTGCCCCTGCCTCTCCCGCCCCACGCCAGGCCCCTGGCCCGCACTGGTCCCTGCCCGGCGCCTTTGTGTCGGTCCTGCTGCTTCGTCACACGGGCGCTGCAGCGCTGCCCGGGGTCCCCACCGCCCCGGGAGAGCGGAAGTGTCCTGATGTAACTCACACAGGTCACCGGTGACGTGACCGTGCCTCTCCGCCTTCTCTTTGTCGGTTACCCCTCACGGTGACGGTGGCACAGAGCCTCTGTGACCGCAGGGGACGGTGTGGGGTTCCTATGCACGCCACGCTCTTGGGTGCTGCCACGATCGATCGGCACGGGCTGTCCCTTCCGCCTGGAAACTCACCCCCGCACCTTCACCCTGCCGGCTGCTCTTGTCCCTCTTGCTGCAAGCCTGCTCCCCCCTGATAGTCTTCCCTGAATTTACCCAGATGCAACAGAATGCAGTTAGCATATTGTGAGCAGCCACCTGGGAATGGAAAACAAACGCCCGAGCTGCAGCAGCGAACCGCGCTGTGCTTAAGACGAAGGGTGCAATGTGTTTCGCTTCTGGAACTCGGGACTATCGGGGGGATGAGGGGGTTTGGGGAAGTGGGAATACGGGAGAAGGGGATGAGGCACAGAGAGAGCAGAACCAGGGAGAGGGCTCTGTGCTGTGCCCGGTGCTGCCTCTGTAGGACACTCAAGTCTTCAATACAGTCGTCTAAACAAATAAAATAATTGCAAAGTGTTAATTCCCAGTGGAAGTCTGTGTGGTCCGATTGATACAGGAGTGGGGAGAAGAAGTGCTCAGTTTCGCAGGAGGAGAAAGACGCACGGAGACCCTGGAATTTGGGAGTCAAAAGTGCAGGCAGGGCTGGATCCTAACAAAGGTCAGCCTTTGCTGGGTAGTCCTAAGCCACTTCAAGGTGACTGTTAAGTGCCGTCTCTCTGATAGCTGACGAACATGTCACCACAGGACCGGCTCCACCTGGTTCAACTTTGTCGGCAACAGAACGGTGACTTGTTTTTCGGTGCAAGGGAAGCCCAGGTTTGCAGGTCACGTAACCTGAGTGTGCTCAGCTGAGCCAAGTGGCCCGATGTCTGAGCCACGAGCCAAGCAGAACA